GGGATTGACCATCACATTATAAGCCCCCACGGCTGAAAGGGCCAGCATGTTTGGTGTGACAGGGATTCGAACCCGCGACCCTCAGATTACGAGTTGAGCGCCTTAACCATTTTGTATAAAACAATATTCTAGTGTAAAGTTTATACTTTGGAATTAACAAAATTCTAATTCCATATATATCTAGTCTTACTGCATGTTTATTTATCATTACACATTATGGCACAAAACATTGTTACCACTGTGCTTGTGGTAACAATGGCAGAAAAAATTATGGCAGTTACGTAGGTAGGATTTAAAAAAATACTTTTCTTTTATTAAACATCATACTGCACTGTAGCATACCATTATCAAAATACAAAAATATTTTCATGTTTTCTATCAAATCATGATTTCAGTTACTTTTAGATTTTTGTTTCATATCTGTTCTTTTAGCAGATATGCACTGTTGTTTTTTTTCCTTCTGATACTTCTTGTGAGGCTTATGAATTATAGGCTGAAGTCCTTGTTCTAACATGCAGTTGCCCAAATACTCTTCTATCAAAATATACTAGGTAAACAATGATTGTACTTGACTTATATGTACCACCCCAAATCCACTTAATAATGTTTAACAGTTCTTTGAAGAAGTATTACTGATTAATAAAGACCATATATTATATACATCAATCATTCGTTTTTAACACTCAAACTAAAAGGAATTAAAAAACTAAATGAACTTCAAAATATAAAGATTGTAAGGTGTTCATATTTTGTTTCAAAGTAATATGCAGGCATTGTTAAAGTTATATATTCTTAAGTTATATTAAAAGCAAACTGTATGACCATGTATACAGTTGAATACTTTTGATATTATATATATTTCACAGATTTATTTTATTTTTTGCCAAAGGCACAATTGAAAACATCATCTGTGACATAATACATTAATATTATTTGCAAAACAAAATCCACCCAAATTTTTGAAACATACCTTCTGTACACAATAAATCTTAATAACTTAATAATATCTGCAAAATAAAATAACCCAATTATTTTCAGGTGTTGCACCATCTGCACAACACAGCATGCATTTTAAACATTTCACAGTTGACCTTCTCCACTAAGTAGTTTGATATATTTGTAAGAATTTTGAAATAAACAAGAGTGAAAGCAGCCTAATAACACCTGCACATTACAAACATTACTTCAAACTAAAAGTTTTATTAACTTATCAATACATTTATGCAAATGATAAATAAGAACATAGACCTATGAAAAAACATTAATCTAAAACCTTATTCAACATTACATAATATTGTAATGCAATTATAAGTTAGGTATATGATGTCAAAGCTAGGTAATTTAATAGGTTACCTGTGAGCAGTAATTACATCGGTTAGTAAACTCATTGATTAATCTAAGCTGGTATTTATCATTAGTGCAACAATTAGGTATTCAAAATTTTAATTATATCAACTGTAACAAATATAATAAACTACTAACAATTAGTGTTTTCAAGCATCAATGTTTTTTGTTATTCCAATTATCCAAGTAATTGAAATATTGCTACAACATTTATTTGTTGTTAAGCACAAAACTACAATTTTAGACTTATACATTGTTGTTTTTTTACTTCAAGTTTGTTCAGCTTCGGTGATCTGTGTGATTTGAGATTTGAATGTTTTGGCTTTCATTTCCATTGTCACTGTTTTGAACTGCTGACTAAAGGGATGGCAACTGTCTGGCAGTACAACAATGTTATTTTTACTTGTACATATCATGGTTTCAGAAATATTGTACTGATTCATTAACTGACTAGTAAATACTACTAATTGTCAAGTAAATTTACACTTTATTTAATGCTATAATAACCCAGGTCAGCAGTTCAAAATTAGGATAGATGGAAGACAGTGGCTTTACCATAACTGATAAAACAAAGAAACAAATATCAAATTTCTGGAAGCAACAAGAGCCAAACTCGAGTTCCTTGAAGGTAACCCACCTACCTTCCCTAATCACCTTGTCATGCTGGCCCAAAGCTGAGGAAATATAAACTGATGGGAAATAAAAATGATTAATCATAATGGAAATAGTTTGATTACTTGGATAGTTTGGACCAATTAGAAAATAGTAATAATTAGAAACACTAATTTTGATTAACTGATTATTTCACGTGACACTAATTGATGCAATCAGTGTTCACAGGTATCTGATTATATCAATTTAAAGAGTTAATCACCATGCTTCACTGTTCATATCCAGTAATAATTAGACAAAAGAATCATAGGTACTGATAAGATGCACCACGATCTGAGAAGCCTTGCAAGTATGCTCAGATTTGATGATGAGGAACCCATTTTTTGAGAATAGCCTTTAGATGGCTTGAATGGGTAGTGAAAGAAAGTTTATTACAAATGTACAATGTATCGACAAGCTTCTTTAATCATCTTGTGCAAGTAATTTATATAGACACAGGAATATATATATATATATATACGGTATGGAAAAAAGAGGTTGCATGACTGGAGATTGCTTAACAGTTTAGTAAAGGCATCTTAGCTGTTGATTTAGAGTAGGGCTGTTTTGTTCAATTAAAATGGCTTCCAACATTTTGCATTTGTTGATGTTTGGATCTTTGTTTAAAATTAGTGTTTTTAATACTTATACTGAGCCTTTTTGAGTTGGTAGTAAACATGAAAGTGTTTTTTATTATGTTCAGTGAATCTGGTTTCTAATTTTCTTCTGGTTTCTCAAATGTAACATTCTGAACAGTTATTGTATGTTTTTTATACATGACATTGGTATTGTGTGATTCTGTGTAATTTTTATTTGGTAATTATTAAAGTATAAGGCCAGGTTTTTAGTGAATTTGAAGTGGACAGGAATATTACGTTTAGTGGCAAGTTTTTTTCATGTGTGAATTATTTTTTAACTTACTTCAGAGATGAATGGTAAACTGCAGTGTAATGTGTTGTTTAATGTGTAATGGTTTATTAATATCAGATTTGTTTGTGAATTGAATTTTGAGGTTTTATGTTCTGGTGGTTGTTTGAGAATTTCTTGACAATAGTTAGTGGAAATTTGCTGGTATGACTGAACAAATGCTTTATAAGGTTGATTTTTCAAGGAATGTAGAGGCTTGTGTAAGTGACTTTTTGGTGAATTTTGGCGTTGAACTCTGTGTCAGATCCAATAATGTCGAAGTTAAGAAAAGACTACTTGTTTTTTTATGTTCATAGTAGATTTAATGTTAGGGTGAACAGAGTTTGTGTTCAAAGAAAGTCTGTATGTGTTCAATAGAAAAGAAACCTGCAAAAGTGTCACTGACATACCTGTACCAGTATAGCAGAGGATTGTATGGCTTGAGTTTCAATTTTGGTCATAAAAATATGTTGGCTAGAACAGGTGAAACAGTTTCCCATGCTTGAATCATCTATTTGAAGTTTTTGTTGTGAATTCTAAGAGGGAAATAAAAAAAGTGTACTGAGGATGTGAATTAAATGACCGCGGTAGAGGTCAAGTGAAATATTACAAATTTCCTTGACAGGAACTTTAGTGAAAAGTGAAACAACATTAAGGCTAACCACTGAAGCTTTAGGGCTTAGTTGGTTCAGTGTGTTTCTGAAATTAAAGCCACCTTTAATAAAGGAACCTGCAGATGTTATGTATGGTGTCAAAGCCTAGACGATGTATCTGCCAAGATTATAGTTAAAAGAGTTTTAAATAGATAGTAAAGATCATATGGGGCATATCTTGTTTCTGTGAGTCGAATAAAAATAAAGATCTTCAGTAATTATCTTCCTTCATTTGTGACAGGGTTCTGTTTAGTTGTTTTACATATGTGTTTGTTGGGTTGTAATGGATGGGTTTGAATTTCTTTTTATCTGATATGATGTCATTAATATTGTCAGTGTATTCTGTGTTGTTCATGATTACAGCTATGTTTTGTCAGCTTTTAGAATTTTAATGTTAATGTCTTTTTTTCTGATTATAGATGCATTTATCTTGTTTCTTGTGAGATTAGTCTTCTGTTTACAGGTATGGTTGACTACATTAATGGTTTTGTCAGAGAATTCTTTAAAAAATATAGTTTAAAATAAAGTTTTTGGGAACTTTAAACCAACACCCTGGGGCACCAAGATAATTTTACTAAGTTGTTAACTCTCTCAACACAGGCTCGGTCAAATTGACCGAGCACATGACCTCTTTGTACTTGTTCAAAGTCTTTGTAGACTTAATACTTCTAACTTTCAATATAGTGTGTATATTTTCATAAAAGTTGGCAGTCTTTCAGTTAACATTATAAGTTTTTCACATACAAAAAATCATATTTTTTAGTGAAGTATTTTCGATAAACTAAAATAAAGATTTGTCCATGAATATATTGAGTATTTGTTTTGAATAGTCTGTATGCAAAGTGATTTTCATGTTAAATACATCCTAATACATACATTTCAAATGTTTGTTTTCAGTAAAACTTTATATTTTATCTGTTATTTTCTCTACCCTAACTCTATACAACATTGATCAATTTGACAGATCTCATAATCCCCCAAAAAATCAAAATCAAAATAAATTACCCTCTTTTTCTTTCTAGAATGACTTCAAATGTAGTGTGAAACTACATTTGTTTATCATAACAGTAAACATCTATTTTATAATCAAAGTTTATTGTTTTATTGCCCTTTTGATGCCCTTTGAATCATGTCTGACTACTATCCATGCCATTATAAGTTGTAAGTTCCTCGGGGAACATGCAGTTCATGTTACACTATTGAATTACATTACCCATGAGCTACTATGAGTTGCTTGCATGCATGCTTCATGAAACATTTTTATTATATTATTATTATTATTTATTTTACCTAATCTAATTTTAACTAACCTAAAATATCCCTATTTTTACATTTTAGTTACTTTTATAATAATAAATAAAAAATAAACATGAAAAACAAGAAATGAAGTAGTTACTCAATCTTTTTCTTTCTTGCTATTGATTGTCGATGACACTTAACCCTACTTTTTTAATACTAATGGTAGTAGTACATTAAATAATTTTTATTTAATTAAATAATGCATCAAAGAACATAGACTAATAACATGCAAAAGTAGACAATTTTTATGGCTTTTAACTTTGCAACAAAAAAGCTGTTACAAATTCATACAAGCTAGTCATTAACTTTTCCATGGGAATGAACCATGTATTATAAGTGAAGTTGATGCTTATCTCTTCAGAACACAACATTGTACAAAACATCATTTGATAGATGAAA